ATATATATATCATTTCAAATTTTTTAAGACTGAAAACAATTGCTAAAACTACAAGAACGACAAAAAATAATTCTATTACAACACTTATAATAGTTACATTTAAACAGTTTAAAAAAAATCAAATACATTATAAAATACCAGCTTAAAATAAGCAATCTTGAAGTACTATTTTTTGCATTTCTTTCTTGTAACCACATAACTTATAAGAGTTACAATTTTAACAACTGTCACAAATAAAATCTCCCAAAATAAATGTAATGTTAAAGATTTGTCACTTGCAAATATTTTTTATCAATTTAACTTGCTTTGCCCAGGTTATATGTTAGTTGCTTTTTGAAGTCGCATTTCAAATACAGACGTGTCGACATCATGTACAATGTCTATATTACTCTTGTTAATACTTATACAGTCTTAATTTTCATTTCAATTTTACTCCTTACAGCTCGGGTTTTTAAGAAAAGCATGATAAATGATATTTCGTTCTCTTTTTGAAATTGTATTGTAGTTAAGTTTAGTATTCTCGCAGCATGTGGTTTTATCTAAAGAAGAGATAAATACAAGTATCGATTAGTTTAATTTCTATGAGTTACTAAAGCAACACAATATATAAAAGAAAAAGTGCTTTAAAATTTTAAAGCTTAATTGTTCCTTAATTTTTTTAAAAAAAAAAACACTTTTTTTAATTATTTTTTTAAAGATAAATAAATTGATCGTTGAAATAGATGACGATTTTTGAATTACTTGCCACAAAAAATATAATCTTATCAAATGCATTTTATAATTCTTAAACTAATTTAATTATATTTTTAAAATTGATTGAACTTAAGGAAGAACTTAAGGATTGAACTTAAGGATTGAACACAAAAAAAGTACGGTCGAAACTACCAGAACGTGATAAAATTCACCGTGTTTCTGGCTCTATGGGAACTCCATAGAGCTTGCAAATTTTTAGCAAGGCGCTTTGGTAACGATTTTGATAAAATTAACAGTAAAATAACATTTTATAAAATGTATTAAAATTTGGTAAATGTGAGAAAATTTGGTAGTTATTTCATGATACTTTAGAGCATGGCATAAAAACCATTTATTCGGTGAAATTTACTTTTTAGTTTTGCAATTTTGACTAAATGTGTGGTAATAAGAATTATAATTTTGAAAACTTTAATTCTCGGTAAACCATAATTATCATCATCATAGTTGACCAGACAGCCCAATGTGAGCCAATGCCTTCCTGTGAAGATTTCTCTATGACGACTTCTGATTCACCTTTGATCTCTAATTCTTTTCATTAATTGCGAGAAAATCAGACTCCACTGAGTCAGCCCATCCCAACCGCGGCCTTCCCCGCTTTCTTGTTCCAGTGGGTCTAAAAAGCAGTATCGTTTTTATTGTATTGTCATCACTCATTCGAATCACGTGGGCCATCTAATTCATTCTATTTATTTCTATGCATTTAATAATATCAGGTTGTTTATAAATCTTGTACAGTTCAAAGTTAAATCTCCTTCTCCAGTTATTGTTTTCATTTACACCACCAAGTATACTCCGCAAAATCTTTCTCTCAAATGTTGCGATACAATTTTCCTCCTGTTTTGTCATTGTCCAAGCCTAAGAAACGTGTGCAGAGACTGGCCGGACAAGAAATTTATAGATTAAGAACTTTGTTTTTCTAGAAAAAAATCTAGATTAAATAAATCTTTTCAGCCCATAGACAGTATAACCGTAATTATACGAATGAAAACATTACCAAATGAATGGTTTAAACACCGGATATTTGAAATTTGTTAACCTGAATTATGATTTTCATTACCAGAAATATCATTATCTTACAGTATGGTAATTTTACCAGAATTTTTTTTCTCGCTATAAACATAACGTAAATATCCTTTTTTCTAATATATAAACTTAAAATAAATGACTCCCGCTATTTACATGTAAATAATTAAATCGAAATTAACTCCCTAACTCATTTTGTTACCAAAGCATTTTCACAGTTTCTAACATATTCATCGTCTATCGGGAATTTGTGATACCGCAATTTAATTTCAAGTGCATGGCAATGTTCCCACTACGTGTATTCGCACATAATGTGGGTTGTATTCTAAGGTTTTTGACCGACGGAGACTGGGTGAACGTGTTATGCATTAGAGAATAGAATTCATTAAACTGAGTTGTAGATCTAATCTAAAGATCTTCTCTTTGACATGAACCGTTAATAATCCGAAGCTCTAGGAAGAATATAAATTTAATACAGAAACTTTCATTCAAATTGTACTTTCATCAACATGAATATGTTATATCGCATTATTAAAATGACAGAAAGCAAGATATAATTAAAAGTGTATAAATTAAGGTAAATTGTTAAAAAAGTAAACAAAGACAAGTACAGTTTTTTTAAAAGTATTTTCCGTATTAAAATGCTGGAAGTTGATTTCCTTTTTATATATTTTTTTGTGAGAAAAGTGTTAGGACGAAAATAAGATGTAATAAATTTATCAAAAATATTCAGTTACATTTATTACTATTCGGCAGATTAAAAACACTTTGCAAAAATCAACACAGAACAAAAAGTCAACTAAAGATATTAATCAATATCTTTCTAAATTCTTTGTTTAAAAGTAAAATGGTATTAGCACAATAAAGATCCAAACAATCACAAATAAAAATCAGATAATAAAAGAATTTTAATAAAAAAAAATTCAGATAATAAAGAATACAAAATGCCTAATTAAGAATTCAAAATGTACAAGATAGACTACAAAATAAAGTAAATTAAGAATGCAAAATGGAATATACAGAATACACAACAGATTAAAAAAAATAATAATAGCACACAAAGACGTGCTTTTTGATTGTTGCTGTGCAATTTTACCAGCAAACAGTATCTTTTAAATTTAAATGTGTTTAAAAACGCCAACCATTTTTGAAAAAGAAAGTTAAAAGAAATTTCTCACCGTTGCTAGGCGATTGTTATGAATTTGATGAAATTATTTGATATTTTCCAAACGATCAATTTTTCGTCATATTTATTAAGCAGTTGAAACGTCCCAGTCAGAATTTCCATTTCAATTCTTACAAGTGAAAGAACCGACTAGGGAAATTTCTTTCGAGATGAGACTTGGTATGGAAGGGGATTAGGATGTTTATCCCTTAAAATAATAGGGCTCACTAGCCGTGCAATTCTTATAAAAAGAAGCAATTCGATTATTCGAAAGTTCTATTTACGTACTTTGTTCCTTTCAGTTGAACAACAGCCTAGTTTGGCGAAAGAATGCCAGGAGTTCGATTCACAAAAAAATAAATAAAAAATGCATTACACTGTAAGAAATTCCGGATTGAATTTTAGTATAAAGCACATTGGGCGCATCTCCCGCAAAATCCATTTTTTCTCAAAAGAATTATGGCATAATTTTTACAGTGCTATTTATTTAACTAGAGTGATTTTATGGTAATTATTAGTGCAAAGATTACGGTATGTCAGATTTTTCATATTATGTTCCGGTAAAATGGATCTTACGATAAAAAAGTACCGGCACAAAAGTAACTGGCACTTTTTATCGTTTTTTGATGCAGAATTTTTTATAGTGTAGTTTAATGTCCTTTTTCAATGATATCTTACAATTTTTCGCAGCACACATTATTAGTTTGTGGCTGAGTGGCGCAGTTGGTTTGTCGTCGGCCTTCTGAGATTAAGTCTGCGGGTTCGATCCCCGGCCCAGACACCGGATTTTCGGGATGCAGAAAATCCTCAGCGGTCATGTCGTATGATTATGCGGCATGTAAAAGATCCCTGGAGTGCCTTATTGGTTCTTGGCATTTCCGGCAAAATTAAATTCCTAATGCACTTTAGCATCTAAATAGAGTCTCGGAGTTGCCATCTAGTGTGGCAGAAACTAGACGTCCAAATTAACATGACCAACGGTATCTCACTCATTCTGGTGGTCCTGAAGTAGTCGATAGCACCTCTGGAGAACGCAATAGGTCTGCTCATTGGCAAGACCGATTGTACAGCTCAAAATAAAACGTTATTAGTTTTTGTATTTAACAAGTTCGAAAAGTTCGAAATTTTGTAATTAACAAGCTCGGGCTCATCAACTTAATATTTTTTAACAATAGCTCATAATTTATTTCAATATGTTCATAATAAGGTATTTCATTTCAGTACCAGAATGCGATCCACCGGCTTTTCCTTCAAGGGGAGGGTATGGTCCAATACAGGAATATTACGTCGTAGGTGACAGCATCCACTACTTTTGTGAAAACGATGCATACATTGGGGGCAACTATTACAGAAGGTGCGAGGATAACGGAGATTGGACTGGGGACACACCCGTTTGTGGTAAGTGCTGTATGGTAAAAACTGTGGTGTACTATCTCTTCAAATTTGGAGTTGAACATTACGAAGGATTGAGTTAAAGAATATTTAATTTCAAGACAAAACGAAATTTATATGCAATTTAAAAAAGAGTAGACAAATCTAAATACCAATAATGGAGAAATCGTAAACCAAGCTACGCGTATTCACACCATTTGTAAATTGTTTCATTTCCAAAAACACCAACTTTCGTATATTTTGGCTTACGCTAGCATATTGTACAATCGAGTACGACACGGCATGAATTTGTTGTTCTTTTCTATGATGTTAAATATCTTTAGAAACAAAAATTAGCCTTTTCAAAATTTATGCACATTGCAAAAAATTCTAGTTCAAATTAAGGTAGAAAGTAACGATACGTGGAAAAATCCGTTTTGATGAAAAACATTGCATCTTACCGTAAGACATTATATCGTAATTTTTACAGTAATAATTATGTAGTTAGAGTAATTTAGTGATTTTAGAAAAAATATTACTGTAAAAATTACGGTATATCAGATTTGATTTTCATTATATGTTCCGGTAAAATGGATTTTAAGGTAAAAAGTACCGGAACCCTGAGTGGAAGAATACATTTAATGTTATGAATAAGGTACGTAATATACGTGATGCTTTCTATTGATCTCTTTTTTACAATCCGTTTAAAAAATAAAGTATTGAAACTATACACTGTCGGGTTTGAAAATTGATGTTGAAGCCAGGAAAAAGCAAATACGAATTAATATTGCATCGAAACCTAACGAATCACTACTGATAAAGGCGAGGTAGAAACTACCGAAACCTGTTTAATTGCTTGAAAAAACAAAAAGGATTTAAAAGGATCAGATTTGTAATTATGACAACAATTCCAAGTTTTATCAAGTCACCAAGCTGATTTCGTTATAGATTGTAAACAATTGCCGACGATGTCCACAATACGCCAACATTGAGTTTTTTGGAAGCAAAAGTATTTTTACGCATACGGTGATGGCACATGATCTTGGTGTAAACCTTTTGTATTTCAGGTGTTTAGCGCTTTCATACACCATTCAAATTGTAAATGAAAACTCGACTTGGTGTTAACTTGAAGAAAAAAAAGCAAGTGTTGTTGCGCACAATTTTTAGGGTTGTTCAACATCAAATCCGAAGAGATATTACACCATCATTTTTACAGGGTATACTTGAGAATCAAGAATGAAAATGCGAGGGAAAAGGCATTTTGTTCAGAAAAAGTAAGTTTCTGCATCTAATTTTGAAACATAATCTATTGTCTGCTCGAATAAATTAGTATATAGCTCGTTCACCAGGAGTAGGCACTTAGCTCCGCCTTCATTACGTGGTATGCGGCGATACTATTTCGCTATTTTTGGGAGAACGTTGTGAGCAATCCTGAACAAGGTTGCTATTTTGGCGATCGTATAGCAAAAATATTTATCTCGCAAATTTTACCTGCATTTTTTTAACATTAAATACTTGATAAATTTGATGATATTTCGCGCCATTTTTTGTGATATTTTTCTCTTTTGAGTGAATAGATTGTCCTTTTTGAGGCATTTTGCTGGGAAAACAGTTTTTAAATTTGAAATATATTTAATTAGCCAGAGAAACGAAAGGTATAATAGCAGTTTATAAAGCGAAGTAAATAACTGAAAAAGAGGTCACTGTTTGTGTTCGGCGCACATTAGGGGTTGTCTCAATTTCTAGCGCGGAGATGTTTCTCTGCTTACTCCCTCACTGAAATGAACTCTGCGTCCAAGTGCCAACTCCTGGTGAACGAACTTTATTTAAAGTCTATCTCTCGAACCATTAAGAATTCTCCATAAAGTTCATAAAATGAATTTTTTCCTTTGTATATGATTTAAGATGTGTGAGAATGCATGTACTACGCAACGTTTATATTAAATTTAGATGGCTCAACAAACATACAGCTTGTGAACCAAACTACTACTGCCCAGCCCGAAGTGGACAACAACGCCTCTCTTGCACTTGATGGTATTCGAAGTACATGCTCATTAACGGATGGTGGTCATGACCAGTATTGGATGGCAATATTTAAGGATCCCGGAGAATTGATTCGAGTCATGGTCTTCATGCCGCAAGGTAATGAATACTACGACAGTCAGAAAATATGTTTATCACTGATTTGCTTTCGCGTGAAATATTATTATTTTTATTTAGATTTTGCTTAAATTTATTTAAGGGTAAACTATGACAGCAATATTTTTAAAATTACAAATTGGCGAGTGATGAAACTAATCTTTTACATCAGTTTAAATTTCTTGAGTCCTATCTATCTTCCTGTTCCCCACAGAGCTAAAGGGAAAAAATCATTTTTATTAATTGAAGATCTTACATAAAATCATAATAATTCTAGCATTGCAAAATAAAATTACATATAGCATATGTTACATAGAATGCATATAGCATGTTTGTTTATGATATAATAACTTGCATATTATACAGTATAATACTCTAACGTTTTTTGTGTTAACATGTGTATTTTTTTTGGCGTATGCCTGTTTAGGCAGTGGGGGTGCGATTGTTTCTGTTTTTCAGTGGCGCCATCTACGGTCAGGAATTCGACTTCTGCTACGCCATTTACACAACCACAACCCGTTTATAGGGCGGGTCACATTCACACATATTCACACACAAAGGAGAAAGGACATCGAACACACAGAGAGAGAAAGAAGCATCCATGCCTTGCCCGGGATTCGAACCCAGGACCTTTCTGATGTAATGACAGTTCCCTGCCCCCTACACAGGCCGATCGGCAACGTGTGTATTAAATATAATAAATGTTTGTCATCATTAAAATTTCGTTACAGGAAAAGCAAATTGTTTTGCATTGCATGCATGTATATGTTTTCAACATGATTGCAGGCGAAGTTGCTTTTTAGAAGTTCTTCATTTGAAAAACGATGCTTATGTTGTTTTTTTTTTATATATAATTTCAGGAGAAGTTGCTTACGAAGTTCTTCTTTTGAAGAACGATGGATCAGTTCTAAGTTGCGGAAGCAAAAGAGATGCAAATGGTAATAAAGAATAAGCATTTTTTTAAAATAAACAATTGCACTTTTGTTATAAAAACTGTAACATATTCTATTTTTAATTATTTTAGGCCGCTTAGGATGGGAATTTCATAACTGCCCCGGCCCAAACAATAGAGATGCCATTGGAGTTAAAATTGTTTCCCTGTCTCCTAAACCACTTGAAATTTGTGAAATTGCAGCTCACGTCTTGATATGTTAGTTAAAATAACTATTATTTGAGCTCTTATCTTAGTCTTAACAGTATTTTGCTTTCAATTTATTCTGCTGTAAAACTACTACTTGGGTGAAAATTATTGAATTTAACCTAATCAACATACTCAGAAACGAATATTACCTTTGCCTATAGTGTATCATATCACATAAAAATATTTACAAATTCCATTTAGTCTTACAAAATAATAAATACAGGGTTATTCATAATTCCCTCCGCCTGTAATCGCCATTTTTCTTTACTACAACTAGTTTCAGTGGTAGATGTTACAGCCATCTACCGGCAACTGCTTAAATTAAAACTTGAATACTTTCGGAATAACTTCATATGTTCTTTTTTGCCATATTCGTCTTCGTTTTTTTTACTATAAAGCTTCGAAACCCCGGAGGGAATTTGTAGTCAAATTTATTCATGAAAAGATAATGTTTATTTTTATTGACTATTATAATATAGATTATTATCATTTACCCTAAAGCACAGATAGAAATTTAATGAAAAAAACACAAGAGCGATAAATAGAATTTTATTTATTACTTTTATCTTTAACATATTAAGATTCTAAAGTAACTTTCATTTATTGCACTCTTTAGCTTGTTAGCGAGTTTACGAAACCTAAAAAAATATACTGAACTTAATTTACTGTATTGATAAAATTAGATTCTTGCAACTCGAGAAGAAGTGAAGTGATTAAGCCAGATCACATGTTATTTAAATCAGATTTAATTGGATACCTGTTGGCAACGTCAAGCGTGTGTGTTAAGCCTAATATTCTTCTGAATAGATAAATGATACTATTTACCTTAGATGGTGTCACTTGCTGGTATCCAATTGAAGCATATTTTAATTTTATCAAAAATTAATAATAAAAGAATTAAAATCTAAGAAAATATAGTACATTTTATAAAAAAAATATTTTAAAAGTCTATTATTTTAAAAACATAATAATTTAAGCTATTTTACTAATAAATACGTTTTTAAATCATTTGATCATTATTTTTATAGAACACAGTATAATTACTTGATGGATACGCAAATTATTTAAATTTTTATGTTCCTAGTTCTAGCCATTTTCTTCCTTAATTTTTATTTGATCTACTGAATTAAATAATTCTTAAATTATTTAATAGAAGAAAATTTGTAGAAGCATAATTTTAATGTTTAGGATCATATAAAGAAAGAATTTATAAGAGATACATGGAAAAAAAGATATTGTGCAAGTTTGTTGGGAAAAAAAACCTGAATAATTAGTAGAATAAAACATAATTGGCTATTTATTATTTTTTCTTTCGAAAATTAGTTGGAATACTGATAATAATTCATAATAAATCTATGAAAACATTTTCGAAAAAAGGTATAATTGGATTAATTAATTTTATACTTGAGAAAATTTTTTGTGCTTTGTTTCGGAAGACGTAAAGAAAAATACAGAATTAAAACTAATTACACAGAATTCAATTTCTGATCTAGCTAATGTCTAAATTAATGATGTAATCATCATAAAATTTGGTTTGTCTGAGGTTTTGTGAAAGAGGGCTGAAACACGGAAAATTGCAAGTTACACTAATAAAATTTAGTAACATTGATTGAGAATTGTACGTTTTCACCCATTATACGATGCATTAATTGATTGCTTAGTATACGAGTAAACTGCGTATTCTTCAATATTATGATTGCGCATTTCTTCGTAATTGTGGGTGTTTTCTTAGTTTGCATAATAATGAATGAGTGGCTGATCATTATTTTAAAAAAAGTTCATGTTGAATAAGGAAATATTGCTTTTGATTATCACAATTACTCGCTTTGTCAACTTAATAGTTTTTTAATTATTGTCAATTATTTTGGTTATCAATGACGTTTCAAATTTGATAAAATGAGCCTTTGGAACACGATATTGTTTGTTTACTTACAAGCAAATCAATGGTAAAAAAAGTTAGAAAGTTAAGAATCGTATGTATTTTGATCCCAAAACATAAGAGCGGGGTCGAGATTCATAGATTAAGATGTTTGATTCCGTTTTCTGGGGCAAGATCCAAGTAAATATTTTTAAAATTGAGGAAATTGCTAACTCAGCTTTATTGAAAATTCGTATTTCATTCGGCTTGATACAACGCATCGATTAACACAATTGTAACACAAATTACAGAACTGAATGAATTCTTAGTCATCACATAAAGATTCAAACCTGTGATACTTGTTCATATGAATCAAAAATAGCATAAAAATTTGGGAGAACTCGGAGAACAAGCTGAAACGATACACGAGGGAGGAAACAGTTAGCTGATAATTTCGTGGTTTCGTAAAATGATTTCAAAAATAACAAATCACACCTCACGCATTCCTGAATCATCAAAAATGAGAGTTTCGTTTTAAGAGTGTAATTCTATGCTTATGAAACACGCTAGCGATTTTTCAAGTTAAAAGTTAATGAATTGAAAATTCGTATTTCATTAGGCTTGATACAGCACATTGATTAACACAACTGATTATGAAATGTAACACAAATTACAGAAGTGAATGAATTCTTAGTCATCACATGAAGATTCGAACCTGTGATACTTGAGCATATGAATCAAAAATAGCATAAAAATTTGGGAGAACTCGGAGAACAAGCTGAAACGATGCACGAAAGAGAAAACAATTCGTTGATAATTTCGTGGTTTCGTAAAATGATTTTAAAAAATAACAAATCCCATTTCTGAATCATCAAAAATAAGAGTTTCAGTTTAAGTGTGTAATTCTATGCTTATGATATGAAACACGCTGACGTGTTTACAAGATTCAAGTTGCAGAATATTGTGACAAACTTTCGACTAAATATATTATTTTCGATAATTATTACACAATATCATAAAATAAAATATATTCGAAATAAAAAAAAAACGATTCTTCAAATTTTCTTTTCATAATTGTATTTTAGCAAAAATTCAGTTCTTGATTCCCTCTATATAAACAAAATCGTCCTCTTGCCATCTCCTTTCGCCTCTTTGTCACTTCTTGTCATTCTGGACAATCGGCTGTAACACTTGGTGTTTGCTTTAAAAATCGTTTCGCTCTTGTTCATAAAAGAGACGCCTTAAGTGCTCACTGGAAAAATGTGACACTTAAGTTTGCTTGCTTCCTATAAACTCTAAAAAGTAGGACACCCCTAAAGTGATTGTTCGAGTACCAGTCATGCACTGGAAGGCCATTTCAGGGATCTTAAAGTTTTTTCTTGCACTCAGGAAAAAACCTATCTTTAAGTGCAAAGTATATATTGTTCTGTTTTATTTTGCATTTCTTCCAAACAGTCGGTGGCAACGTGTGTAGTTTCGATGTGGTATCGGAATATGACGTGAATGACGTCATATTCCGACAAATTATGTTTCAAACCAATAAGAAGCTACAACTGTCTTCAAAGCTTTATAAAAGCTGTGTATTTTCTTTTTGCAGTAGATATAAGAATAATACATTAGATATAATTTCTAGATACGGATGTGTTACTTTCGTGATGAATTTGAGGTAGAGTGAGTTGCTGTTCGTTTTATTTGATTTACACTAATAAATAAAGTTTGAGTTCTACTAGTTCTGTTATATATTGTTCCGCTAAAATGATTTTTATCTGACTGTGAACGAACATATCTGATTAGGAAATCTCTAAAGAAGTTGGCTTAGGAAAAGAATAGAAATTTCTTTTCACTTTTACCGATATGAGAGGAAATATATTGTATCTGGCTTTTGAATTAATTGATTGCTTAGAAAGTAAGTTTAGGACACAGATAGGCGAGCCTTGCCCATAATGCTTGTTCAGTTACTAAGTTGTTGAGCAGAAGATACTGTTAGAAACTTTTCGTAAAAAAAGTTAAAAATTATAATTAATTATAAATTAACTATTTAATTAATTATTTAATTAATTATTGAAGTAATTATTCACTTAATTATTCATTTAAAAAATTAAATATTTAATTATTTAAGTAATTATTTAATTATTTAATTAATTATGAAATTATTTATTTAATTAATTATTTAATTAATTATTTAATTAGATAAGTAATTATTTAAACGTTTAATTAATTATTTAATTAATTAACTACTTATTCAATTATTTCTTTAATTTTTATTTGATTAATTGATTAATTAAAAAATTTATTTAATATAATAGACTGCTCCCAGAAATTTTACAGTAATATTAGAATGAATTGTCGAACAGTAAGGGCTGTCGTTTAGAATCTATGTATCCACAAAATTTGCTCAATAAGTATTCTCAACAAAGCTGATACTTCTTTAACTTGTGTTCTTGACTCTGAATATAAAACAAAAATTTAAACTTTTAATTATAAGTCTAAATGTAGAAATGGGAGTTCTGAGCAAGATAAATAAATATATTTAGTAGTAAGTAAATGAATATTAAAATATTAAATACGCCAAAAAAAACTGCTTTTATAATCTTTAATAATTTTACGTATTCTAATTTACAGCACCAACATGCGTTGATCCTCACTTACACGTTGATGATGGTCAGATTCAGCTTACGCGGCAAACGGCTTCTTTAGTTTGTANGAATGAATTGTCGAACAGTAAAGGCTGTCGTTTAGAATCTATGCATCCACAAAATTTGCTCAATAAGTATTCCAACGAAGCTGAGACTTCTTTAACGATGTTCCTGAATCTGAATATAAAGCCAACATTTAACTTTGTAATCTTAAGTCTAAATGTAGAAATAGAAGTTCTGAGCAAGATAAATAAATATATTAAGTAGCAAGTCAATAAATACAAAAATATTAAATACGCCAAAAAAAACTGCTTTTATAATCTTTAATAATTTTACGTATTCTAATTTACAGCACCAACATGCGTTGATCCTCACTTACACGTTGATGATGGTCAGATTCAGCTTACTCGGCAAACGGCTTCTTTAGTTTGTAATAAAGGTTTCACGCGAAGTCCTGTAAGCAAAATAGAATGCGTGCGCGACGGCGTCTGGAACAGAAAACGTCTCTATTGTTTAGGTAAGATAACTACAAATTCAGTTTTTATTTTTTGCAGCAGGTTTCATTTTTTAAAATGCTTAGATATAACAATTATTTCACTCGTTTTACCGTTGATAAACGTTCATTAAGATGTTCTCGATTTTATCTTCGCATTCTTTATTAAATTTTCATTTTGCATATTTGTCGCATTTGCAATAATTTATGGCTGTAAAAGTTCATTCATAAATATAATTATAAGAAAAGGCATTTTATAGTTAATAATAAACTTGAACATAAAATAAAACATAAGGCCACCTGGAATAGCATGTTGTTGGCGAGGCAATGTCAGTGAGGCAACTGTATGATGTCGGTGATTTGTATGTTTGAGGTAATGTAATTAAAATTACGCACCAGCTGCCAATACCTCTTATACCGAACCGTGGTGGCTCTGGGGATAGAGTATTCACCTTTCAATGAGGTGAGCCAGGTTCAAATCTTAGTGTTGGCTAGTTGAAAAGAATTCCGCTCCCGGCTCGCACCGACCACAGTGCTTAAGTAAAATATCAGCGGAAGACGGATCGTGAGTTAGAATTCCCTTGCCATCAGGCGAAATGTGGGTTTTTTTCGTAGTTTTCTTCTCCATGTAACACAATTACTGGTTAATTCCATCAAAAAGTTTTCGACGAAGGCTAGCTTGTCCCAATGATTGATCCAGGAGCTCCTCTGTCTTCTGGATTGGGTTCAAAAATGGGGGTTGAATATCGGTAGTCATCAACAGCCGGTTATAAAATAAAATATTAAATATACATCCCAGACCAGTTTTATTTTTTTTATAATCGTCGTTGAACAGGCCACCCAATTTTGAGTTTACGACTGCTAATGTTCAACTCCGTAGCCTTGTAATCCTGAATCTAATCCTGAAGACAAGGGAACTTCAGGATCTAGTATTAGGAAAAATTTGCCTTCGTAGAGGATTTTCTTTGATGGAACTAACCCGCATTAGCGTTACCTGAAGAGGAAGACCTCATACGGTTAGCCTGACAAAAGAGGACTTTAATCCATGATACATCTTCTACTGAGGATATTTTACGTCATGCCACACCAGTTCAACGAAAGTTTGATGAGCTCTTCAAGCTACCAGCAGAAACATATCCCCAGTCGCGATTTTTAAATCCAGCAACATTTAACGACCCGCTCTCCTGTTTGGCGATTTCTTAAATGAATGAGAAATTGATTATTGAATATTTTTTTTGCCCAGATAAAACAAATTTTTAAAGCAATAAAAGCCAGCAGTATAATTGAAACCTACTACAACTGAGAGAAAAATCTCCAAAAATGAGAATGAGTCATTAAAGGCTGCTTGATTGTAAATTAGAACCCTTTTCCTTTACAATGGCAGCTCAGTACATTAACCGCTACGTCGTCTTTTAACATAAAATAATGTTTCACTCTAGTCAGACCTCCGCTGCCACTCGACTCAATTTTGGTTAGAAAAAAAAATTGAATAATTTAAAATCGATATTTAAATAACATGTGAATCTTCAAAAATAACTACTATCATATCTTTAAAAATCGTCTTCCAGTAAATGTTACAAATTTGGAACAAAAATGATGAGAGGAAATCGATCCTTTGAATTTTTTTTACGGCGTTTTTTAATTTTGCTTTTATTTCATATTTATTTTTCACTTTCAGAGCGACAATGGACTGAGGACATAGAGAGAGAAAGAGTACAGCATCAACCACCTGCTAATGACCCATAAGACAAAGAGTTGCGAAGAATAGCTAATTTTTTTCATAGTAATACTTACTCAAGTTTAACGTTCTTCAAGTTTAGAATAGCTATAACTTGTAATATACAGAATAATAAATTATCTAAAGTATGAACTTTTAATTTAATTACACAATATTACATTTACATCTAATATTACATTTACATATGTGAAATTATTTCATTGCAAAAAATGTAACGTAATCGACTTTAGCGTAATCATCTTTAAATATAATCACTTGCGTTTACGAATGAGGCATATTTTTTCCACATATGTAACCTTGTAATTTTGAACTCAACCCAGAAAACAAGAGAACTTCTGTATCAAGTACTGGGACAAACTAGCCTTATTGAGGGACTTTTTCTATGGAACTAACCCGCATTTGAGTTACATAGAGACGAAAACCACGAAAATCTCCCGTGGTTAGTCTGGGGCCAAGGGGTTTCTAAACCATGATACAACTTCCACTGACCATACTTTACGTCAGAACTGTGGTCGGCACAAGCCGGGAGTCACCGGTGTCTAATCAGCTAGTCACCGCTGGAAATCGAACTTGAGTTACTTAATTAGAAGGTGAACGTTTTACCCCATATGAATAGAATATATTTAAGACCTAAAAAAAAAGTGAGTACTTATTATTCAATTATTATTTAAATTTTTTCAATGCTGTCCCAAAAATAAAGTTCGATACTATGTTTTAGTTAAAACAGAACTTTAATATAAGTTTTTAGTAAGCTCAAAAGGTAATGGAATATTTTAACAAATGATTTATGAAAAAAAATTGAATAAAAATTAAATGTTCGAGAAGGAAATTTGAGATGTTATCGATTAAAAGTTATCCTCGTAAAAAGCATGTATTGAAAATTTATATATGGATAAGGAAATGGGAGAAATTAACCTTTAAAATCCTTATTGTATTGTAAAAACTTATTCGTATTTTAACCTAAAATTTGAAGTTTCCCCGATGATTTTCAGACTAAGTTAAATACAGAGCCTTTGTAAGGATGGGGCCAGCGGAGCATATGCCGAAACATCAATTTCTTCCCTTATTTTAGAAAGGGATATTCCATTTTTTTAATAATAGGAACAATCTTTTATGAGTTAGAAAATTCTTTTAATAATTAAATCAATTTTTTATTAATTGGGACAAACTTTTCATCGTCAGAATTATTTTTAAATAAATAGAATAATTTTTTTAATAATTGGATTGTTGCACTATGTAATCGAAATTTTAAAAAAAATATTTATACTACGAAAATTTAAAAACCCTTAAAAATGGCTTTTGTAGAAATCACTAATGCCCAAAAATAACAAGTTTCCTGATACAAATTTGTGAAATTGAATTCTAAATCGAGCCTTTAACTTTAAAATTCAGTCAAATTTTACTTTAAAACTCGGATTTTTGACAAACATATTTTACTATAGGTATTCATAACTCTTTTACTGCTTTCAAAAAACTGGGATAGCAATTTTCAAAAAGAAAAATGGCTTTTGCAAAAATCATTGATACTTGTTTACATCAAGTTTCTTCACACAAAGCTGTAAAATTGAATTTTAAATCGAGCCCTTAGCTTTAAAATTCAGTGGAATTTTCCTCGGATTTTTGACAAACATATTTTACCATAAGAAACCTTAACACTTTTAACGTTTTCAAAAAACTGTATCAAAGAAATCTTTACGTTTACAAAATTGACTGTAAAAAATCAAAATAGGCAGTGTCGCGAATTTTTATTTTTTTAACGACACCACTATGTCGCTGAGGCCTGCCTCACGGGGGCGGAAATCTATCGTTGGAACATTTCATAATACAATGAACTTCATTATTTCTTTTGATTATTACTTATGAAAGAAGAGTTGATAAGTATCTAAAATACTTTTAGCAATTTCATGTCTCTATTGCCAGACAAAAAAAAAGCAAATAACTAATTGCTCTATTAATGTCATTGTCATTATCAACAAAACGTATCGTATAGATATATATTTGTAAATAGATTGATGGATGCTAGAGGGGAAACAGGAAAAACAGCTTTCTCTAATAGGTAAGTTACACTAATATGGTGTATGTGTAGAAAAAAATACGCCCACTTATATTAAATTATGGTGGCGATGTTTGTATAAACTCGTTTTGTGTTTTTCAGGGGAAATAACAAGCTTAGTTTCATCTATTTTTACATCAGAGGTATAAGTATGACAAAAATAGTGAAAATATCATTTTTGTGGCATTGCACAATTATTTGTTTCGCAGGATTGACTGCGTCTTTTACTATAGAAGGTTAGTATATTTTTGTAAATTATTTGAATTGTATGCAGTAAGAGATTATTTTATCCATTTCATGTTAAGATAGAATTTTTTTCATAAATAGCGCTTTTATTCATTATTAGTTTAGAGATCAAAAATTTTAAGTGTTTAATAATCATGAATAGTCCAGAAAAATAATTTTAACAAAATTTGAAAGTTTACATTTAATATTTTGGTTAATGATTTTTTTTAAACAATTTGCTGAATGATACGTTAATTCTTACCATTTTAATTAAGCAATAATAATTTAAAAATTTCAGAAAAATTAAGAACTTGTTTCTTTGATTTTGAATTTTTTTAAATAATTGGAGAGATGAAAATGTGAGTTATCGATTGTTTGTTTAGAAGTTTTGTAACCAGTTTTTTTAGTTTTTGGGAAGACGTAGGTCAGCTTATTATTATGATGTGTTTTAAGAAATAATTTTTATGAAGAATATTAATTTTTCTTATGTATTTTTTAAATATATTGATCCAATGAAAATTAGCAAGTAATTCTAACAAGAAAAATAACATTTCTAAGGACATTTCTGATTTAAAAAAAACTAAAAAGAAAAGAAAAGAAAAAGGGAAAAAAAGAATTCTGGTCATTATACCAAAATTTTACTGCATTTAACTCATTTATTTGTCAATTTTTTCATTCTTTATAGTAATAGTTTACATGAAGATCTGGCTTTAAAAATTATAATTCTTACTATCACTCATTTAGCAAGAATACATCAATGAAAGATAAATTTGAAGGCTTTAGAAACACAATTTTCTGTATATATGCTATCATCAATTTTTAATGCTCAATTCCAAATTTCTACTGCAATTAATGTAAATATCACAGATTAAGCATGTATTTCATGTTTTTTGAATCAAGATTTTGTGTATATATGCTATCATCAATTTTTAATGCTCAATTTCAAATTTCTACTGCAATTAATGTAAATACCACAGATTAAGCTCGTATTTCATGTATATCCATCTAATCATGGCTGTATTCATTTTTCAATGGCAATTAATGTAAATCTCCGATCAAGTTTGTACATACTTCTAATCATGGTTACTTTATTATAATGTTACCACATTGTTACATAATTCAAAATGTTTTATTCACTGTATATAAATTTCATGATGAATGGGGTAGGGGCCGCTGCGCGGCCTAGGCACCCAGTTTTGTTTAAATAAATAAAGAAGGAAGAAACACAATAAAATTTGCAGATTGCTTTCACAACGCACTATATTCAATACCATTCATTTGGTAATTTTAAGATTTTTGTGTCTTTGCCTCTTACCAAATAGATTGGTAATAGACCCAAATAATTTGTTTATCCTGCTACGGTTTATTTAAAATGGCAGTTCATTATAATGGTTCCTAAGAGTTAGATGACGGTTAATTATTTACTTCACTAATATCTTTCTTATTATCTATAACAGAATGAATTATAACAAAAACATTAATATCTCAATTATAATAATCCCTGGGGAAAATAGTATGGTTAAAACTACCAGAATATAGTAAAATTTAGCTTTATCGAAACTCCAAAAAGCACGTCAATTTTTACCAAATCGCCTTGGCACTGACTTTTTTTTTTTAAATCACCATTAATATATGATTTTACTACTATGCTGGTAAAATTTAGAAATTTTATAATGATATTTTAAAGCAGGGCATAAAGGAAATTTGAGAATAAAAACCATTTATTCGGTAAAATTTACTTTTCAGTTTTGTATTTTTACTGAATGTGTGGTATTATAAGAACTATAATTTTGAAAACTAAGATCACCGAGAAACTGCTGCCATACAAACGGGAAAATCACCGAATGAATGGTTTAAATACTGTATGTTTTGGTTTTTATTACTAGAATTATGATTTTTCTGATCAGTAATTTCATTATCATACAAGTACGGTAATTTTACAATAAATCTTTTTCGTTATGATTGCATAGTTATTTTTATTTTCCTATGTATTTTAAAAAAAATAATTATAAAAGAGGCTTATATGATACTTTTAGGTGTTTAATTGAAGTATTTTAAAGACACTAAGCAGACATAGATCAAATTATGGTAATTGTTTTATGCATATTTTGTGAGTATAGAGAGATTAATGATTTATTTTTCACCTACTCATACGGTTTTGTCTGTAAATACAAAGAGTGGCTTAAAAATCTGTTAGATATATTGCTTAAGAATCTATTGCATTATGTTCAAAATGACAATATGAAGATACATGTAGTGTAGTGACTTGTTTATAGCTCGCTGTCCAATTCTTGCGCTTAAGTATTTTGCTGCAGCCTGATATTGATTTAGTTCAGCCTTGTTTAGGAATTCGTAAATTTTCAAATGCGCATATTTTATGGTTTTAAAGGTTGGTTGAGTTTAGCCTATAGCTTATACAAATGGAAAAAACAGCCAAAAATGTTAAGTATTCATTAATTAAAGTAGAGGTCATCAAACTGAACACTTTTATTTATATTTTTTATACAACTTTAAATAAAAATACATGACTTAAATAAGTTTTCTACCTAACAGCATTGCTGTAAATACACATTTTATTTGTAATTTTAGAAAAAGTCTCTATCAAAGCACTTACGGTACCTTGCTTTTTGTTGTTATCAAAGAGCCAGAAAACAAGCTATTTACCATATCCGGCAATTTTGAACATACTTTTCTCTTCAGTGTTTTAAGCTTTCGTGAAACATAAAAATGGTATTCTATAAAACGGAAAAATTATCTTAAAAACAATCCGTTTGAAAAAACTAAGCAATTGGAATAAAGGCTAAATTTATCCATCATATTTCCTGAATTTGTTCCCAACTGTTTATTAATATTTCATACATTTGGATGATTTTGTAGAAAAATATTCATTTTGAGAATTAAAGAATTTTAAGAACAACTTTTAATAAATCTATGTAGCCTTAGAATCTACTACCATTGAGTTTAAAAAAGCAATATTTATCGTGATTGCGATACAAAGGCTTTGAAATTGAATGAAACTATATTGGATACATCATATATTTATTAAATATTTTCGCATTTAGTACTTATGTCTTATAAAAATTGAGAACCAAACTGTTCATTTCTACTAAAACAGCATTTTTTTTGTAAAAAAAAGTACAAATAATAATAATAAATAATGTGTCCAAGAGTCGAAATATTCTTGGACATACTATATTATTTTTTGCGGGGGTCTAATCGACCCTTCCACTTTAATAACCAAACTACATTTTCACATCATTTCTTCCTTTTTTTTTCTTTTAAAAAGTTTATTACAAAAAGTTTATTTTGAATAATTAAAGTTCGTTTTTTGCATTTCTTCGTATAACTATTTATTGGCTTTCTAAAGTTTAATTTTAGTGGACTTATTTTAGTGGAAGTATTTAATCTATATATTCTCATTTCCAAATTTTAAAAGTCAAAAGGTCTATTTATTTTTTATTTTAATACATTTATTATTTCTACTTATTTATACCTACTATATCCCACAATGTAAGGTATTCTAAAGTTAAATCCTGAGTACAATTACATTTGATGTCATTTTCTGTACACAAAATGATTTTTAAACAACCAACTATTGATGCTGAGCTATACTAACAAAAAGTAAAATTTCCTTTTATTGTAATGAAGCTAAGATTTAAAAGTCAAGAAAGACTAGATAAAAAAATAATAATTTTTAAATCATCGGAGGAATATGCATTTTCATAACGCTTAACAAACTCAACTTTTAATTCCACGTTGCTTTTATTTCAGGCAATAAATATAACTTATTTTGATTATTATAGTTCAATCTTTATTGTATTCTTTCCCTGTAACGTTGTTGATATATATTTCAGTACCAAAATGTAGTCCTCCAGACTTCCCGATGTGGGGAGGTTATGGACCCATACAAAGTGACTATGATGTGGGAGACAGCATCCATTACTTTTGCAATACTGACACCTACATAGGTGGTAACTATTATCGGAGATGCGAAGACAGTGGAGAGTGGTCTGGGGACACGCCAGTGTGCGGTAACTATTTCAATCAATATTTATCAATCTGTGTTGCAATCTTTTTCAGATTTCAGGAGTAACCAGACATCCATAGAAACGTATGTTTTTTAGAGATCCTCATATACAGGGTAATAATGATTAAAATTGTCTAAAGGATTGTTTTCCGGAGAGATTGTTCAACTAATAGAGGGCGCTGATAATAGCAAACGAATGCTTCTAAATAAATGCAAATTTTTAAGATGTTAATTAAGAAACGTGGCAACACACGGCATATTACACTTGGGCTAAAAAGGTGGGAAACATGCAGTTTCTGTTATTCTGCGCATGAGGATATGGTTATGACTCTACCATAGAAGAATCGGGCTCACCTTGGGAAGATATCTTTTACAGATATCGTTTTTTTAAGCATCTTATAATGATCATAGCGACATCTCTCGGTCAATATTTGAATTTTTTTTTCTTTCCAAAAGAAACAATTTCATTTATTTGCGTATATTCAGATGGAAAATCAGATATTTATGACAAGTGGCTTCACAAAAGTGCTTGTGAACTAGACTCAATAATTTAACAACGATTTGGACTACGGCTCTCGAAGCCCAATCGGCAAAATCAGTATTGCACGGTCCGTAAACTTATTCGACGTCTGCCACCCTGATTTGGCTTCATACCGATTTGACCTAATGTTTGGCTTCACTGACTAAGTAAAACATGGCACCCTGCGTATTAACGTACGTGCCCCACACGCGATTAGCGCTATTTAATCCTTTTGTCCGATCGCTTGCTTTTCTCTCAAGTATTCGTGAATTCCCGGAATGTAATGAGAATATATACCAAATATGTTGGCAACGCATAACTATCGGTTCATCCAGTGAGTTCATTTAAGGCATATTGGATTGTCTCATCAATTTAATATTTTTATTTTCCCTGTTTAAATGTATTTGTGTTAACTAAAATGGAAGTGATGTATCAAATATTTTTGTGAATAAAAACGGAAGAATTGTCCACTGAAAAAGAAATCACCGATCATATCGACTGCTGTAGACTTGGAAAATCATATTTCTGCTATTATTTTGGAAAATGAATGGCGTGAGGGTCACTATGGACATATGAAACGAAGAAAAGAACGCGAAACAAGCAAAATATTTCATTGTTTTGGTAATAATAAAATAACTAATTTTGCTTTTCATAAATATAAATAATCTTTTTATGGTGTATACTCCTCTTTAAATGAGTAAGCTATGTAATTTAGTATGATTTCTCACTTTTTGTCCAAGGTGGATTAATATGAATTACTTTATGAAACGTTTCTAAGATATTTATTACAAAATCTACATTTTACTAAAGATGCATGCAGGTAGTAATAACTGTTGGAGGTAAATTCTTGTTTTCGAAAACTATGATCTTAAAATATTGACCAAACAACCATACAATGAGCCAAACAACATGAATAAACCTTTTTCTTGACTGTATATTGTTTTTCAGATCGGCAATGATCAAAAATGTCATATAGTTGATTAAGTGTCATAGTTTTTGTCACGATAGTTGATACAACAAAAGATATCATGGGAATTTGAATCGTAGCTAGGGGAGCTATTTATTAGTTTTATAATGCATTAAATTCGTGTTTTTATTTTATATTTTATTTTTTTACTTTTTCCGTGGATAAGTAGCCATTTTTTTTATCATTTTGTCATGTATTTCAAAGGATCTAACAAAAGAAAACTAAAATTAATGATTACAAAAATAAATAAATAAAATTTTGAACCAATATAAGTTCATAAAGGTCACTTAAGTTATGTGCTGAATGCGCTTAAAAACATATGATATGATAAAGGTATAACATAATGATTGAAGCAATGATTTTAAATTTAGATGAAGTAGCGAGTATAACCTTTGTAAACCAAACGAGCACTGCAGAACCAGAAGAAGAGAATGATGCTGATCTTGCAACAGATGAAGATCGAACTACGTGTACATCCACAGCTGCTGGTCAGCGCCAATATTGGATGGGAATATTTAAGGATCCTGGAGAATTAATTCGAGTCATGGTTTTCATGCCTCGAGGTAAGAACGTTCTTTTATGATTTTCGAACTTAATTTCTCACTGTTTTTTATTTTTAATGTAAAATATTATATTTTTTAGTTTTACAAATGCTTTAAATAAAAAGTTATTCAAACTAAAACTAATAGGAAGAAGTAACGTAATAATTTGAGAAGTATCATCGCAATTTTTTTTCTAAATAATGTTTTTATGACTTTATATATTCTCATGGACAAAAAAATGAGCACAGCAAGAAGGAGTCGTCTAAATAAAATGAAATTTTACATATGTAATGACTACTTTGATATAAGTTAATGATTAGAAAATCAAAGAAAAAGGATAATTTATTTTTTAAGGCAAAAGAACAAAAGGATAAAAGGCAAAAGAACGGAGGAGTTAATACTCCGTTGGACCACCTCTAGCTGGAATGCACGATGTGATACGATCGGGCATTGAGTCATGCAAGTTCTGTATGATGTCTCGAGACATTTCGTTCCATATTTGCTGTAACCTTGCCTCTAGTTCGTTCAAACTCGTGGGATGCCCAACTCGCTGTCCCAAATGATCCCAGATATGCTCGATTGGAGACAAATCTGGAGATCGGGCAGGCCAAGAAGGGGTAGTAACAGTACAGAGACTATCTTGTGACACCCTTGCCGTATGAGACCGAGCATTGTTTTGTTGAAAAAGGGCTCTTGGGAGCCGTTGCATGAGTGGTAACACATGTGGTTGCAGGATTTCATGGACATACCGCTGGGTTGTCATGGTGCCACGAAACAATAATAGGGGTGATCGTGTATTGTAGGCAATGGCACCCCATATCATCACACCAGCTGTGGGAGTGGTGTGTCGCTGATCAGCAAAGGCTGGATAGAGGCGTTCACCTCAGGGTCTCCACACACGAACACGATTGTCATCATTGCTGAGATTGAATCTGAATTCGTCGCTAAAGACGACCTGGTTCCATTCCGCTGCAGTCCAGTTTTCTCGTGCGCAGCAAAACTCCAAACGAAGACGTCGGTGGGTGGGCGCAATTATTTCTTGGTGAGCCAATTTCTTTTGTCCATGAGTGTATATGTAATTTCATGTGGGATGATAATAATTTTGTCTGATTTCAGGAGATGTCTCCTATGAGGTTCTCCTTTTGAAGCGTAATGGATCAGTTCTAAGTTGTGGAGAAAAAAGAGGCAGAAATGGTAATAGCTCATATACAATTAGTCCTAAAAGTGTAGAAACGGACAAAGATAGAGATTAATACATATTGAATGAAAATCCTACAAAAATTGTCACCCAAGTGGTGGTGTGAGGGTCAAATTCAAAACCTCGAACTGGATTTAACTGCAGACTTGGATTCTCTGGGGGGAAAAAGTATCCCAGTTCGACCTGCTGTTGTTTGCACTTTAGTTCACAGATGGAGCTGTAATCACAAAATGAAAATGGGGTTGCAAAATTGCTTAAAATGGAGGGGTTTTAATAAGCACATCTCAGTTATGAAAAAAAGAACAAAAATACACTTTTTTGATATTTCAAAAATCCTATCTAATGGTACAAAACTAAGCTCCGCCACAACCTAAGGGTCAAGTGTGGTGACATAAGACAAGATGTATTTTCGTAACATCAAGTGCGTATTATTTTGTTTTCTTGATCTGTTATGTATTCATAGAAATACTTCCATATTAAACAATTTCTAACTCATTTTCATTTTATGATTACTTCTGCAATTGCGAAAGAAAACAGTAAAATTTATAAGTCAAAATGGGTTCTGGAATCTGGAAAACCTAAAATTCTTGTGAATTTTGCAATAGAAAATTAGTGTCCATCGTTAATATTTTTATGTTACCTCCCATCCTACTTATTTACAGGGAGAATGAAAGATCACGTTTGATACCATTTAAGGCAATTTTTTAAAAAAAATATTTTGCCTAAGTAGTTATAAATTTTTAATCCTATGCTTATTTTTTTCGAAATATCTGACCGTTTCCTAACTTTCGGGACCTATCGTTTCCTAACTTTGTGTGAGTATTTCTTTGAAGTCATAAAGATTTTTATCAACTCAATATTAAGTTTTTTTAAAATATAATTCCAGGTCATTTAGGATGGGAATTTCATAACTGCCCTGGACCCCACAACAAAGATGCGATGGGAATAAAAATAATATCACTCTCTCCCAAACCACTTCAAATTTGTGAAATTGCAGCCCACGTTATGACATGTAAGTATAATGTCTACATCCCTTATTTTTATGAACTTTATTTACTTTATTTATTGGAATTTTAATTTCTTAATCGAGTGTAAAAAAGTTCCGAAATTTAGTAAAATATGTAACAGCAGATGGCGCTGTGAAACATTTTACCTGTTACGCTCTGGTTCATGAAAATTTTGTTCCTTGGGTTCTGTCTGATGATGGACATGAGTAAAGTGTTGTAAAGCGAATTTCATTCCTTGGAAGATTCCGATAAATTTTATGCAATTTTTTGTTTTTTTCCCCTGATTTAGAGTCTTGTTACTTGCAGAGCCATCTTCAAAACCTTTTTTGAATGACATACAGAAACTCTGCAAGAAAACTTATGCCTTGTTACATAAATATATTTCAAAATTTAAATTTTTAATCTAATCCGTTTTCCCGCTTTAATTTTTTTTAAAGATTGTCAGACAGGGCTCTTCACATACCTTTCGATTTCAAAAGACATTTATCTTATAAAAAGATAAGCTTCTAACTTTCTAAGGGGTACGAAGCAACACAATTGTTCGTTTTTAATTTTTTTAACTTTTAATTATAAAATAAATATTTGTTTGCCATGCTTTAATTTTTTTTCTCTTAACTTTTAAACACGTTTTCCTTGTTTTCAAATCGGTGACTCAAATGTTATAGAATCAACCAAGATTTGTCTAAATCTCCTCAAACTTTTTCTAATTTAAATAATTAAAACATTATTTAAATAATTAAAGCATTATTCAATAATTTAAATTAAAACACAAACTTGAACTTTTAAAAAATTGACTTTTTTTACTTTGCATTTTTTTGAAAATACTTTGTAAACCATTTAGTTAAAATAATTTGTGAAAATTTTTTTCGGAGGTAGCGAAGAAATAACGTTTTGGAGAAATAGCGTTGGGTGGAACTAATATTCCCCGATGGGGGGGATGGAATTATTTAATGCGTTTTTAATATCTTTCTAACATACGAGGCGCATCTAAAAAGTAAATTTCCCTAATTTATCAACGAAAAAAAAAGAACTCACACTTTCAGGAACATATTTATTGGTAACAAGTACAGCAATGTTTCAGCTATTTTTCAACATAGCCACCACCAGAATTGAGACACTTGTCGTATCGCGGGATCAACTTTCGTATCCCTCTGTCATAGAATTCTGCCGCCTGTGAATGGAACCAGCGAGTGACAGACGTCCTCAGCTTTTCGTCGTTGCCAAAACGCTCACCGGAGGACAGGAATTTCTTGAGGTGCAAGAAAACGTGAAAATCGATAGGAGCAATATCAGGGCTGTAGGATTTATGATCAAACAACTCCCATCCAAATTCCGTCAATAACAGCTGCTGTGCGTCGTACCGTATGTGGACAACCATTGACATGGAGGAGCGCAACAGCTGCAGTAAGCATTCCACGACTCTTGTTTAGAACGGCAAGTCTCAATTCTCGCAGTGTTTTATAGTAACAGTAGATGTCTGTCACGCGCTGGTTCCATTCATAGGCGGCAGAGTTCTACGACAGAGGGATACAAAAGTTGATGCCACGATACTACAAGTGTCTCAATTCTGGTGGTGGCTATGTCAAAAAATAGCTGAAGCATTGCTGTACTTGTTGCCAATAAATATGTTCCTGAAAGTAAGAGTTCTTTTTTCAAAAAAATTCGGGAAACTTACTTTCTAGATGCATCTCGTACTAGAGGACTAGCAAAATATAGGCAAGCTAAATAACGTCTCTTTTTCCAGTGTGTCAAAAAGTTAAAACATATTTATCTTATTAGACATTTTATTTCAGAAAATTATTATATATATATTTTCCAGCTTAAGACACCGTTTTTTTTTTGTTATTACGCATGCATTTTTCAAATTTTAATAATTTTCCAAGATATCAGCCAAAAAACGCATTTTGCATGCTCACTTTTTTCTAGACTTTTAGATTGCGTAAAACGAAATATTAACGAGCTAAAAAATTCAAACCTCTCCTTTGAGAGACGTGAGTCTTCAAACTTCAAGCATTATATCTCAGAATTCATACCTTGTCCCATCGATACCCCAAAACTATTATTTTATTCTATGTTTTAACATTTAGCCGGGTTGGCTCAGTGGATAGAGAAATGGCCTTTTAATGAGGTAACCCGGGTTTGAATCCCAGCGATGACTGGTTGATATGAATTCCGCACCACAAGCTCGCACAAAGTGCTGACGAAAAATATTCTCCGTGGTAGACGGATCCTGGGTTGGAGTCCCCTTACCATCAGGCTAACAGGGGGAGGTTTTCGATGTGTTCCTATCCATGTAACGCAAAGGTGGGTTAGTTCCATTCCATTTCTCTCGAAATTTGAACCAGGAGTTCTCTTGTCTTCTGCATTGGATTCAAAATTACAAGGCTATATAGTTGAACATTAGGAGTCGTAAGCCCAAATTTGGGTCGACTGTTCAAAGCCAGTTATAAAATAAAATAAAATAAAATAAAATAAAATAAAACAAAATAAAATAAAATAAACTACGTGAGAAAGAAAATACAGGTAAACTAAATGAAGTTAGCAAATAAAATAGAAATCGAGTGAATTAAAGTTTTTCATATCCTCATGGATGAATGCTAAGGAAAAATTATGTATGAATCAAGTGAAATTAAAAAAAAACAATCAACACTTTTATATAGATTTTTTTTTATATACTCTGTGTTCACAACAGCAAATTTTTAAGATTATCCTTAGTGGTAGACGGATCATGGGTTAAAGTTCCTTTGTTGTCATGATAGCCGTGTGAAGTTATGCTTTCCATGTAACGCGAATGTTAATTCTATAAAAAAGTCATCCACAAATCCAAATTTCTCTCAATACTTGAACCGGGAGTCCCCTTGTCTTCCGGATTCCGTTCAAAATTACAAGGCTGTGGAGTTGAACATTGGTAGCCGTAAACTCAAAATGGTGTCGGCTGTTCAAAGACGGTTATAAAATAGAAATAATTAAATTAAAAAAAAATTTTTTTTTACATATTGACTGTCCCAAAATCAATGTAAATTTATCAAAGATTTTTTTTTTCCTTTTGTCAGTTATTTCTGGCACGTATTTTAATCCAACTTTTTATGTAATTTTCTTATTCTAGTTATTTCAAACACACATTTCAATCTAACTTTTTATGTAATTTCTTATTCTAGCACACATTCTGGCACTCTAACTATTTCTTCTAATAAAAGCATCGTTATCTTACAAAATTTCACAAAATTTTATTTTTTTCAGCCCCAACTTGCGTTGACCCACACCTGCGTATAGACGATGGTCTAATCCAGCTGACCCGAAAAACTGCTTCACTGCGTTGTAAGCCAGGTTACACAGAAAGTTCGGCAACTCGATTGGAATGCGTGCGTAATGGTGTATGGAATAAAAAAAGCCTCTTCTGCATACGTAAGCAATACGTTTTTCTTTACTTAATTCGATCATTAACTTAAAACATACTTCAGTTTTATACTAACTGTCAGAGAAATTACATTTTTATAGTTACTAATGTAGCTGTTGTCTTTGTTTCTAATATAGTTAACTACAACTGTTTGTCAAAAACAAATGCAGCAATTACAAACTTCTTAAATAGTTTCCGGAGACAGATTTTGTCAAAAGAATCCATTTACACGCATATTAAGTGCATATTACACGCATATAAAGTACTAAAAATTGAAAAAAAAATCCGTAAAAATGGTGTGGAGTAATAATTGGCTTATTTAAACAAGGGGAATATCTAATTCTTGTTTGTATGAGCGAATTTGTTGTTCTATACTACCATGTTTTGAAAGTTTTTTCACTCAACATTCAAATTCTGATGCTTTTTTCTGCCTTTCTTTTTAGCGGATATTTAATTTTAAAAAAAATACAAGAAAATTATCAAGTGCTTGCGATTCTTAAGTGTCTGAAACTTTTTTTATTTCCTCTAAGAAGTCGTTGAGAATTATAGAGCCAAACAGGTTTCGCTGACAATGCTGCATAAAGTTTTCACTAATCAGATTTGAAAAATTAGTTGCTTTAGTACCTTGTTTCTACACTACACTAAAGTTACATTTAGTTGCCAGCGAATTGTTACGAACTAAAGACATTTTTTTTATCACACAACCTACTACCTTTCTTCTTTGCAGAAAAAAAGTAGCGTATTACACTACAAAAAACAAAAAGAAATAGCATCTACAGTAGTTTCGTTATTTGTAGGAAGGTAGTTCCGACCACTGAGTTTAACTGGCAGCTTCGCAAAAAGAATATTTATTGACGTATCTTTTTTTTATATATTTTTAATAAAGAAAAATGTTTCTTAATAACAACCCTTAACATATAATTTTAAATTTGTCGCAATAAGTATCACATGACACTATATATGACTAAAACGTCCTAATTCTAACATATAATTAACATATAATTTTAACATATAATTTAAAATTTGTCGCAATAAGTATCACATGACACTATATATGACTAAAACTTCCTAATTCTAACATATAATTAACATGTAATTTTAACATAATTTCTAATTTGTCGCAATAAGTATCACATGACACTATATATGACTAAATAGTCCTAATTCTATTCTAACTCACTCTTTCATGCTTAGAAAACTGTCGGAAATTTAGCATGGAATCCATTAAATAATGAATTACTGTTAATTTCCTACAATTTGTATATGCTTTGCTTTCTATATAAAAGATTTTTAAATTTTTATGTCTTAACTCTTAATGTGGACCGACAAGCAGACCATCGTCATCAAATTGTTTTGTTTCAGAACAGAAATTATGTCCTTAAACTTTTAAGGAAACGATCGTTATATTTTTTAACTTTTTTTCTTTTCGACAAATGAAAAAATATATTTAAACACTCATGATATTTAAATATAATTTATAATTATAAATTACTTTTATCTTTATCCTAAAAACTTATAAAAATTTTTAAAATAAGCAAAAAAAATCAATTAACAACAGTTCCTACTTATGTTTTAATCCATAAAACTCACCAATAATAATTATTGATTTTAAAAAATGAAAAGTAAATTACTCGGAACCACAACATCACGTAATTTCCGCCGAATTCGTCTAGAAAACGAAATCTCAGTTGTTGAAAATGTTAGTGATTTAATATAGAAAATTTAATAAATACAAATTGTGGATATATTTATATACTAATCATAGTAGTTAAACTAACATGTCTTGTAAGATAAGCATTTGAATAATTAAGGATTTTTTAAAAGAACTATTTACCCATATACTCAAATTTATTTTCTTCTTCTTTTATTTGAGTGAAAGTGGTATAAACTTTTAACCACTCTTTTATTCTTTAATTCCGTGAACACTTAGTGAAATATTATACACCTTTTGACTTGTTGTTTAAACAAAATAATTAAAATAAATTAAATAAAAAAATTTTCGAAATGTAAAAATTCCGATCTTTTTCTTGTCATTTTTTTCTGTTGAAATAATTTATAATTATATTTATTTGTGATATTTTTCACAATGCTTAGAAACTTATTAGACGCAAATCAGTAAAGAACTGAAGGTTTGACAAACGAACAGTCAAATTTTCATTCTGATGCAATAATATATTTATAATTGCTGATTAAATTTCGTAAATTAATTTTTGAATGAATTATTTTTAATGATTATATATCTTATTTTTCAGCTCCTCCATGGGAAGCCGTAGAAACTCATCCTAGAGTTTGAAACTAATGTACCTGTAAATAAAAATGTCACCTAAAGCTTTTATGTAATAATGAATTGTTTTTAAATTAATATTAATTTTACCTAGTAAAATATAAAGTATTAATAAAACTTTTAAAAAAACGTATTCGCTGAAATATGAAGGGAAATTGGGTGAACAAATCGCTTTGCTTCAAAAATAAGTGAAGAAAATTAAATTTAAAAAAAAATTCGGTGTCAAAGTAAAGTATCACCAACCAGGAAAAATGGTGCGAATTCACCAAATTCATACCAAATTGCGGTTTCATATATCTAGACAGTGCATATGCTTAGAAAGAATTAAAACAAAAAATTATTTTTAAAAAAATGAAGTTAATATTTAAGGACATGGTAGACGGACCTAAGTACTAAAAAAATCAATATCACCTTTCAAAATGTTAGAATATCAATAATATTTTAAATAAATAAAGAAGCGAACTGTATGAAGTTAATATATTGGATCAAAGTTTCTATGGATCGTAGCAAATATATTAGACCAAGAGCTTCGATTTTGTTTGATTGTCGAACAAAATACAGCGGTGGTGAAAGATGACAATTTATTATGGACTGTGGAAATATCATGCTTTGCGGGGAAAAAATCTAATCTAAAGACTTTCTTGTGCACTTTTGAGCAAATATGGACATTTCCTGAGACTTTGACACTCATATTTTAAGATAAAGCTAGTTTTAAGATATTCACTGTTTTCAAAAATTTTTAAAAAATTCACAAAGTGTCCGCTCTGTTGCTTCAGTGGAAACATCATGTTTTATGAAAAACAAAACTCATTTACAGACATTCTTTGAGCACTTTTTAACAAATATGGGCATTTTCTGAAAATTTGACACTCATATTTTAACATGAAACATGGTTTAAAAGATTCACTCTCTTCAAAAAATTTAAAAAAATTCACAAAGTGTCCGCTCTGTTGCTCCTTCAGTGGAAATATCATGTTATATGAAAAACAAATCTCATTTACAGACATTCTTAGAGCACTTTTGAACAAATATGGGCATTTTCTGAAAATTTAACACTCATATTTTAAGATGAAGCTAGTTTTAAGATATTCACTCCTTTCAAAAAATTTAAAAAAATTCACAAAGTGTCCGCTGTGTTGCTTCTTCAGTGGAAATATCATGTTTTATGAAAAACAAATCTCATTTACAGACATTCTTTGAGCACTTTTGAACAAATATGGGCATTTTCTGAAAATTTGACACTCATATTTTAACATGAAACATGGCTTAAGATATTAACTCTTTTCAAGAAATTTAAAAAAATTCACAAAGTGTTCGCTCTGTTGCTTCTTCAGTGGAAATATCATGTTCTATGAAAAAAAAATCTCATTTACAGACATTCTTTGAGCACTTTTGAACAAATATGGGCATTTTCAGAAAATTTGACACTCATATTTTAAGATGAAACTAGTTTTAAAATATTCACTCTTTTCAAAAAATTAAAAACAATTCACCGCTCTGTTTCTTCTTCAGTGGAAATATCATGTTTTATGAAAAACAAATCTCATTTACAGACATTCTTTGAGCACTTTTGAACAAATATGGGCATTTTCTGAAAATCTGACACTCATATTTTAACATGAAACATGGTTTAAGAGATTCACTCAGTTCAAAAAATTTTAAAAAATTCGCAAAGTGTCCGCTCTATTGCTTCCTTAATATGGGCTGTGGAAATACGTTTTGGAAATAAAAATCTCATTGAATAAAATGCATTTTTGTGCAAATCTGGACAGATATGTCCTATTTCAGAAAATAAAACGACCATATTTTAACATGAAACCAATTATAAAAGATTCACCCTTTTCGAAAAATTTTAAAAAATTCGCTAATTGTCCGCTCTTTTGCTTCTTTAACATGCTCTGTAGAAATCACATGTTTTGGTGAAACAATATATCACTTAAAGAATTTTTTTCAGCATTCTTGGATAAATATATTCACTTTCAGAGAAATTGGCACACATATTTTAACATGAAACCAGTTATAAAAGATTCTCTTTTCAAAAATTTAAAAAAATTCGCATAGTGTCGGCTTTATTGCTTCGTCAGTGGAAATATCATGTTTTGTGAAAAACAAGTCTCATTTACAGAACAGACATTCTTTGAGCACTTTTGAACAAATATGGGCATTTTCTGAAAATTTGGCACTCATATTTTAAGATGAAACTAGTTTTAAGATATTCACTCTTTTCAAAAAATTTAAAAAAAAATTCACCGCTCTGTTTCTTCTTCAGTGGAAATATCATGTTTTATGAAAAACAAATCTCATTTACAGACGTTCTTTGTGCACTTTTGAACAAATATGGTTTTTTTCTGAAACTTTGACACTCATATTTTAAGATGAAACTAGCTTTAAGATATTAACTCTTTTCAAGAAATTTAAAAAAATTCCCAAAGTGTCCACTCTTTTGCTTCTTCAGTGGAAATATCATGTTTTATGAAAAACAAATCTCCTTTACAGACATTCTTTGAGCACTTTTGAACAAATATGGGCATTTTCTGAAAATTTGGCACTCATATTTTAAGATGAAACTAGTTTTAAGATATTCACTCTGTTCGAAAAATTTTAAAAAATTCGCAAAGTGTCCGCTCTATTGCTTCCTTAATATGGGCTGTGGAAATACGTTTTGGAAATAAAAATCTCATTGAATAAAATGCATTTTTTGTGCTAATTTGGACAGATATGTCCTATTTCAGAAAACAAAGCGGCCATATTTTAACATGAAACCAGTTATAAAAGATTCGCCCTTTTCAAAAAATTTTAAAAAATTCGCTAATTGTCCGCCCTTTTGCTTCTTTAATATGCACTGTAGAAATCACATGTTTTGGTGAAACAATATATCACTTAAAGAATTTTTTTCAGCATTCTTGGATAAATATATTCACTTTCAGAGAAATTGGCACACATATTTTAACATGAAACCAGTAATAAAAGATTCGCTCTTTTCAAAAATTTAAAAAAATTCGCATAGTGTTGGCTTTATTGCTTCGTCAGTGGAAATATCATGTTTTGTGAAAAACAATTCTCATTCTTTGAGCACTTTTGTACAAATATGGGCCTTTTGAGAAAATTTGACACACATGTTTTAACATGAAATCAGTTTCTCTGATTTAAAAAAAACATTAAAAAAACTCACAAAATGGCCTCTCTATTGCTTCTTTAATTTGAACTGTGGAAACATGTTTTGGGAATAAAAAATCTGATTTAAAATACATCCAAGTTTCAATAGGCGACGAATTTTGTGTTCCTGTGTTTTGCACGTGTGGTGTCATATTTTGATAGGAGCTTTATTTTCATCTCGTTAACATCAATTTGCGACGAATAATGTGCATACTTTTTTACCTTAATTTTTGACAAAATTATTTAGAATTTACAAGGATTATAAAAATACGCATTAAGGGAGGTTACTTTATGATTGCGTAAACTCATTAAACATGACTCATATTATCTTTACTAAGATCTACAATTAAAAGTTTAAAATTTACGTGCCGTGTTTTAGGGATCATTTTAATGTTTTAAAAGTTTTTTTGCAGCGTTTTTTAAATATAAATCTGAATAAGACAAACATTCTCGTTTAGGTTATATAAGTATGGAAAAAAATTGAAAAACAAATTGGATATTTTAACTTAAAATTTAAATTTAAATTTTCGCTTTTTAAACAAAGATAATCTCGTTATAATTTAAAAAAACTAAAGCAACATCATTATGTTTTAATGCACTTTTTTAATCAAGTCGGGGCATCTATTATTCCAAAAATAATCGAAGGTTAAGAAAGTAAATAGATTAAAAAAACAGAAGATGAATATATGGCTTACTGCGTTCTGCTCAGGATACTAGATAATTTATTTTCTCCAAGTTCAAAATTAGTTACGAAGTACAATTACAGATGACGCTATGGACTAGGAAAAGTTATAAAACATAATTGAATTCGAAATAGCACCAATTGCAGTCTGACTCAAAATTAACATACACAGGTGGAAATCAATTTTATTGCTCTGACACTCAACAGAAGATTGTTGTATAGTTTTCCCTAGTCAGCAGCGCCATCTATTGTCTAGCTTTATAACTTATTTTTTAATTTTGTAGTAATAGATTTTCTACTTTGTTAAACATAATGTAGAAAACCTACATTTCTAACTTGTTACATTGTTTCAATTGATTTTTCAAACTGTTGAACATTTTGGAACATTTTGGATTGTTCAAAATAAATATACATTAAAAAGTAAAAGTACGTTATTGTCCTCACAGACCATACATTAACTTAGCAACTTCAAATCCTTAAATAAGACGATTTCTCGTAGAAAAATATATTGCATACAGATTCCTGATACTACTATATAATTCAGAGCAGATCTCTTATCTAGTCAAATATTAATAAAGAATCTTTATTGCTTTGCTATATTTATTTCCTTCAAGAAATGTATTTTGTTTGTTACATTCGAAAAGCCAAGAGTATATATATATCAAATAATGCTCAGTAATAATAGGCTTCCACATTATGTGTGAAATGGCTGCTTTTGATTGGAAAATAGATACTTGTATTTAAAAAAGTTAATTTTTAACCACCTTTTTTTATTAAAAAATAAAAATGTTTCCGTAGTCTTTGCATTCGGAAATGAAGAGACAGTTGCTTTTGGAATGATATTATACTTTTCTCTCTTGCAATAATCAGATATCAAGCAAATTTTTATTTTATTATTCATTTATATTTTATTATTAGGAACTGAAGTAGAATTCGCACAAAATCTTTTTTTTTTCTTTTCAAAAAAATTAAAAAAAAAAACATTTCGGATTACATAACAGCACTTTGACTTTTTTAATTAGGGAATCTCCTTTTTACGAGTAAAATTTTATTTTCAAATTCGTTTCAAAAATATAGTTAATGAAATTAATACAGTTATTAACTATATTTAACTGTAGTATGGAACTAAGCTATAGATGCATTGGAAGTACAGTTGTATTACAGCTAAATTTATGCATTTCGTGTTGACAGGGAATATCTGTTTCCTAATTACCACGT